TGTGTGCATATAGTATGTGTATGAGTAGATTCGATGTATGTTAGAGTTATCTTATAAATGTATCTACTACGTGTGTATATGCATACATACATATGCGTACGTACATTTATACATATATGTATAAGTACACATATGACATTTTTTTTTTAACAATGGATATACCTGTATGTACTTGTTGTTGTTCATGTTGATCATAAATGGATATATACATATATTGTGTGTGTTTAGGCATATTTATGCGTAGTTACTCACAAATTACTTGAATGTGTCCCGCGATTAATTAGTCCATGCGCAACTGCAGCACAAAAGTATGCTACGGCAAGTAGAGAAGCAGCACTGCGGCACTGCTTGGCAATCGACTGCTTGCGCACAATACTCACGTAAACAGACACACGCTCGCACACCCACCAAAAGCTTTCACCTCTCTCTCACTCTCTCTCTCTTTCTCACACACACATAAACGTTTTATAAGTCTTTTGTATCATTTTTTTTATATAAACATCTTTTTTGTGCAATGAACTTTTGCGACACCTGCTAACTGTAAACTTAAGGCAACTCTATTTCCGCTACAAAAACCAAAACAAAATGGATGCAGTGAAGAGATATACTACAAACAATTTTGGAGTATATTCATATGAAACCTATGGACCCTATTGTATTTTTATATAAACAAACAAGTATTTTCTACTAATTTATTGAACAAAAAAAAAAAACTAAAATCAAAGGAAATCGAAATCGAAAACCAAAAGAGGAGTATACTTTTTTTCTTGTCTTTTTGAAACGTCTAAGTGTACATACATGATATACACATATTTATATTTATAATTGTATATTTTTTATAAACAAAAGCGAAGAAGAAAGTGAAATATGAAAATGATATTTGAGTGTGCGCGGAGAGCGAAAGCGCAGCATCAGTTTTTCCCCACAGATCGTTTAGATCCAATTTACGATTCGTTGAAGTGTTTAAATGTTGTTGGAGGATACACCCAGCCATAGCCATATATGAGTATCTATGTATATGTATGTATATTTATGTGTATGGAGCGTTGGCAACGAGCCGCATCCCAATCCTAAGTGTGTTTTAGCAAAAAGATTTCAAAGAGTTTATCGAAATGTTATAGGCAAACCTACTAAGTGTGATGTGTAGAAATCGAAAAATAAAAGTCAAAAAGGCAGCAGTATTATATTGCGTGTACTTAAAACACACAGCGTTTTATTTGCCGCAGGATCAGGACATAATTTTATCACATATCGCTTACGTTTTCAGTGCAAATCACTTTTTTATATAAATGTATGTGATAAATAATATTATTATATAATATAATACATATTTATGTACATATATGAACAATACGCACACCCGAAGTGAGCCAAACTTCAGAACTTGATTTATCTATCTCACTTTCGCATACTACAAGCAATGCCATCATGAAAACCCACCCTTACTTCGTCTCTTCAATTCTAGACGAGTCTACACCGGATGAGTCGGCGTACAACCATTGTAAGTACAGGAAGAACAGCAATTTTCCCAATTTGTGTGGGTGTGTGTTACAGTGAACAATGCCAGAAAGACGGAGGTTGAAAGGTTCAGTTGTATCGTGGAACAAATAATGCAAAAAACGAACGAGTTCCGCTAGATAACGAAAATGTGCGCGTGAGCACGTCATAATTGCGTGAATCTCAATAACATGAGCCATGAGATGAACGAAATCAACAAAAACTGAAGCGGAGACCAGCGAGCTGGTTCGTTATTAACACTCACAGAGAAAATACCCGCAATGTCAACAAGTACATCGAGGTTTTACATCCGTTTCGTTCTCTCAGTCTCTCATTAGTGTACGAGCCAGATTGGTGCTGATTGTGCTGATTGGTGCTGTGGACCAAGAATATCACCGTTGTCATGCGCTCATCAGGTGGAATCAGATGGTATGTGCACCGCTTTAAGAAAAGTGCAACTACCAGAAATTGAGACACCACCAGAACCATTGAATGGCTTGCTCCTCGAAGATTTAAAACTTAAAAAATTGAACAAAAGAATTGGCTGTGCAGTGTTTGCCGACAAGTAGGCCGAACTGCAGCTATCGTTAATAGCTCCAATGAGGGCAGCAGGTCTCAAAGTGAAGAGCCACGAGCTCTTGGAAGACTTCATTCGCAATGACAATTTATTAATCGCAAGGCAAACAAAGTCAGTTTGTGGCTTAGATTTGGAAACAACAGCGTGTTCTCGTGTGAGCAAACCCTCGAACTTATTTATGTTAGCGAAAGACGGACTGAAAAAATAATACGATGGCTGTTCAATAAGTACGTGACTGTCTGAATTTCCCGTCTCTTAACTGACAGGGCAACACTGCTACTGTCAAAAGGCATCTGTCAACATTTGAAGAATCTTCCTCGTGATTCAAAGAGAAAATGGAAGAAAGTGAATTCCTGCTTGCTAAGCTTGATAAATATTATGGGAACTCTGCATCATCAATTTTAATGGTAAAAAAGTGTTTTACTTGTACCATATAGGGACCATACCATACAAAAAAGTTTTTGTATAAGACTTAATCCTTTGTTCGCTATGTCTCCAGCTATATCCACTATATCGACATGAATAAAAAATACTGAGCAAGGTCGTACAATTAAAATTTCACAATTTTTGTTGATTTTTGAATTGTTAAATTTTGTGGTATATTACTACTTCCAAGTATGAGGAAGTGAATTGCTCATCTAGGCCTAAAACCTAATTTTTGTCTGGTGCAAACTACAAAGAGACTGCCGCATAGCTGCTGTAGATCTTAAAAAAGCATGAACCGACATTTCTTGAAAATAACAGTAGAAAAGGAAAAGTTTCCCAAAACATACACTGACGGGATTCTTATCTCCATGCCAAATGTCATACCAAATGTAGTCATACAGGGCGGAATCGCACAGGGTTTATGTTAATCAACTTTACTCTTTAGGGTGTACACAAAAAGTTGCCATCAAATTTAGGATAGCAATTCACACATCTTGCACTTTGCTGATGTTTTTGTTTTAATCTCGAGTGGCTATGACTCCGTTGCAAGCCTTCAAGGCAAAATAACGATTTTAATCTATTATGGAAATATCGGGGTTGTAGCTTTAATCCAGGCAAATATGCCGTGATGAATATTGGTAAGGGCAATACAGAAAGTCGTCAGCATCTTAGTAGAACACAAAGCAATTGAAAATAAAAAGTTTATATCGTTTTAGGGGGAATAATAAGCCCAAAAATACCAAGTGTCAGTCATGTAAAAAGGAAACGATTATAACAACTAGCGGCGACAATTAAACTAGGGCGATAGCCAATAATCAGTATTCATATTTTCGAATTTTTTGTCAGGGCGAAACAAGAAAACAAGATGTGCGCCAAGAAGGTGCGTGAGGGTTCCCCGAGATACGAGTAAACATGAAATTTTTGGCTTGGCAGGAGTCATGCCACCAATTTTCAGGGCGAAATGGCTTGCTGCCAAAGACCTCTTCAAAAGTAACTGAACTAGTAGGTGATAAATAATACCTCAAAGCTGTGATAACATTTAATGGGCTGGGGACAAAGACATAAACAATATTATAGATAAGTCTGGTCAGCATCTGACCATCTTATTCCAGGTAGGATTCCAGATCCCGAAGGTGCTAAAATCAACGAAAAAACTCCTGCTTGGATAGAAAAACTATCAATAAGAGAAGGGGTCACAATTGGAGTATAGAGCCGGTATAACGGCTCTAGGCATATAAACATTTTCCCTGACATTCCCAAAACATACCTTGGCATCAAAATCTAAAATGGACGGCAAAAAGTATTCAAATTTTGAACAGAATGATGACACGACACACATACGACACAGTATACTCGTACGTTCGGTACCACAGCCTCCAATAGCTCTTAAGATACACATGTATGCATTTCCTACCATCTCGTCTATCCGAGTTCCCTTAAATGATCTGTCGTCGCGTTTATCCTAATTACGCGTTCATGGCCTTTATTTAATGGACTCTCCCTTTTCTTACTCTCAGTCCGCATTGCCGTCGAGCGCATAGTTCGCGGCCACAACCTCCAACTTTGTACATTAAAACATCGAACGGTAAAACATTCAATTAAAATCTAACAACGGAGAACTCTTATTGGTAAATGTGGAGTCAGAGCTGTCGAAAAAGCTTTCAACAGTATTTCTGCATGGAATCAAAGCCAATGATTTTTGATTGCCACTTTGAAACACTTCCACACCTCAGGAATAAATTAGAAGTCTTCAGACATTACAACAATTTTAAACAATTACTAACTAAACGAGCGGGAACGTTGTGAGTCACAGCTGGGGCCGCGACTCTACATTTATACCCGATACTCAGTCAGTGCGTCCGCTATTGGTGCTGATCAAGACACACACCCATCCACTTTCACGACAAATATTTAAATCCAAATCCCATTTTATCCCTTTACTAGTATACAATTTTCCTATTACATACCAACATCCAGATCTGTTAGCATCTTGGCATAGTGCCATTACATCCCCTTCAAGTCTTTTGGTCACTAGGCAAAAGCATCGCTACTCCGTGTGATTTCTACCACTAGAATACCACTACATATTCTGGGAGCGATGTCAAAACAGGAGGGAAGAACCGGCGCTCTTCTCCGTTCAAAATGTTGTTAATTTCGTTCATCTCTCAATTTCGACATGCTCACACGCAAATTTTCTTGATCTTGCTGGATTCGATCGTCTCTTTTTTCAGCTCTTGTATTTCGCATTCGTCTTGCATTATGCATTCGCTGGCATTGTTCACTGTGACAAATTGCCGTGCTTACTGATGATCAACTGATCAACGTGTCGCAAGGCACACACAAAATAACATCAAAGCCAATACATTATGTTTACATTCATATTTTTCATACAAAAATGCTTTCGTTATTTCGAACCGAATGTGAACTAGCGCCCAAACGCATCATTCGACGAATGTGCCCTAGTAGAAAGGACCCATTACATTAAACAAAATCCCGTCAGTAAAATGTCCAATATATGTAGTTTATTTTTTCTTTTTTGATTCGTTTATTGATTGGCGGCTAGGCTACTTGTTAGCAAGGCCCCTGTGAAGGCGTGTCCATGGCAGGCGGGAGGCAAGCACAGGCATACCCTCCGCCGCCAAGGCATATTCAAATTGGATATTACATATTTACAAATTGCTAATGGTCCACACATACACAGACATTGCACAGTTGGGGGACTGAAAAAAAATATATATGAATACCTCATATATACCATATAGGTTTCTATGTATACATACACGGAGATATATGCCGATATAAACATGGGTATATGCTTGGGTTACAGATTTCACACATACAATTTAAATATATAGAAAAAAATATGTTAAAATTATTCAAAAACAAGGGCGGAGAGCAGGCCATGGAGTCTGGCTTTCTACAAGAATCAGGAGTCGCTGAGAATATCCTTCAATATCGAACTGGAGTTGCGTGAGGGTGCAAATTCATTGGAGCTTATTGCTAGCTGTCCTGACTGTCCTGCACCGGCACCGGCACCGGCACCCGCGCCCATTCCCGATGCTGGAAGAGATAGTGGCGGCGCTGAGCCGTGGTCCTGACCCGCAGGCACTGCTGAAGCAGCATGCCCTGCTGCTGCCTGCGCTGGGTGTGGGTGTGGGTGTGAGTGTGGGTGTGGCTGGGGATGTGGGGGCGGGGGGGCCGTGTCCACCTGACCAGTCATACCAAGGAGGGTCGGTCGCAGCTGAGCCGCCGTCTGTGGCTGCGACTCCTGCTCGAGGAACTGCACGAATGCCTGCACCAAATTCTCATTGCCGCGGCCCGGGCCTGCCAAAGAAAAAAAGACAAATTCAATTAGATATGGGTATAGATCCTTCAAGGATATTCCATATGTACTCACCTGAGCCCCCCGACACTGGTCCACCGCCGAGTATGGCTCCCAGCCAGCTGGTCTGCTGCTTATTTAGACCCACTTTGTCCAACTCCTGGATGGTGAACTCCAGCACAGAAGAAATCAGGCGCAACACCTGCTGCTTGTCCGCAGCATTTCCGCTCACCACATATCCGATCACCAGGCTCTTGATCAGGCTCTTGTCGATCTTGTCCGTCTGGCTGCTCTCGCTGCTGTTGAGCATCTTCTCCAGCTGGTCGTTCGCCTCCTTCAGGCTCTCCACTGGCAAAATATACAAACAGGAGGGGCACATTAGTGCGATTCTACAATTGTTCGGAGATGGTTTTCGGTTAATTATTGAATCTTAGGGCTACAAATCCGTTGATAAAGCGCGCGCGCCTGGATCTGGAGATGGCTTGGGCTTTGTCTTTGGCTTTGGCTTTGGCTTGGTCTTGGCATGCGGTTAGTGCGATCAGTGCACGGCGTAGTATAACATAAGTACTGGTTGTTGGATTTAAAGCACACCAGTACCTGATGTAATACTCAGCCGTACAGACGCTGCTGGATCCTGGAAACGCGTCGCGAATGGTTAGCGGAGTTGGCGGCTGCGAGTGGCTTTGGTGCTGTCTGGCTGTCTGGCTGGCTGGCTGGCTGGCTGGCTGGCTGGCTGGCTGTATTGATGGGTTGACATAGTACATTCCCTGGACAATGAGGACTGGCTGACTGGGCTAACCACTCTCCCATGCAAAATGCAAGATGCAAATCAATAACGACAAACGATAAATAAATCAAAACGAATACGGGAATACGAACGAGAATATAGAACGAGAATACGACAACGGAAACAAATCAAAATTCAGCTAGGCGGGCGACAACAGAGAGCAATAGGTGGAAAGGTGGTCGAAGCAATAGTACTTCTCGTTTCACATACATGTACATGTATATGTACATGTACATACACTCGTAATCCTATGTAAATATATGTATATACAAATATATATATATATGTATATATGTACTATATACAGACATGCAGAAAAGGTATGCTACAGCCCATGGGCTTTGGGCTACTGGTTGTTTAGGTGTGTGGTGTACATAATGTGGCATGTGCCGCAGTTTCGAGCAATCTCCAGTTGCAAAGTGAGTGTGTCAAATGCCTCAAATCGCTCACATTTACAAATTGAGATTATTCAATGCTGCAGATACAGTCGGCTTTTGAAAGCCTTCAGCGGTTTCTTTTTTTCTTCTGTTTTTTGTTACGGATTACGCATTACGGGTTACGGATTACGGGTTACGGTTTACGAAATACGAATAATACGATTTACGAACTGATTACGGTTTTCAAGGTTATCTGTTATCTTTTCTCTCCTCTCTTCTCTCTTCTCTTGTGTGTTTTAACGGTCATAGTTATACAAGTATTTGGTACAGCATAATCATAATCATAATCATAATCACAATCACAATCATAATCAAATTATATAAAAAAGCAATTCAAATCAACAAAAATGGAAAGTGCATTAAATCATAAAGGTCAGTAAGCAACAAAGAATACAAATTGAAATAAAAACATACAAAAATCGAGAGAGCTCTCGGTACAGGACATGGAATAAGGGGGCAGCAGGAGCAGTATGGGCAGTATGGGGGACTTCTGTCGTGTACGGAATGAAGATATTTGGACACCAATTTAATAGATAATAGATTTCAATTTCAATAGATACCAAAATACGGATATGTATGTAGTTTTGCAATTTCTGATATATTTTCTACAAATTTTTAGCATTTCTTTTGGCATTCTCAATTTCCTTCTTTACACGACATCGTACTTCCCAACAACAACAACAACGACAACAACAACAACAACAAAATCATCAACACGCATCAAAGCTAGTGATCGGAAAGGAAGGCTACTATTCGTATAAGTACAAACGATAGTTTCTAGGCGCCTCAAAGAGGGTTGGATTTGCATGGGATTTGGGTTGAGGTGTTGATTTGGGGTTGTGTTGGAGGTTGGAGATTGCAGATGTGGGATTGCCAGCACCAGTTTGGACGGGGGAGTAGTGCATTGCACAGACAAACGGACAAGACGGACAAGACGGACCGGCGGACAGACTCTGTGAGTGGTGTGTGGTGTGTGGTCTGTGGCGTGGAGTGCGAGCAAGGGTAGGGCAAGTATGTTAGGAGTTAGGGGTGCATTTTGGCGGTGGGGGTGGGGGTTTAGTGGTGGAGGAGAAAGCAATATGTTTTAGTTTACCTGATGCTGAGGTGAGCAACTTAAAGTTACAGCCAATACAGTTTTAGCCACGTGCCGTAGGTGCGAATTAGCGAGTATTTTTTTTGTTTTGTTTTTTTCTTTCGGTTTTTTGCTTTCTATTGTTGTGTTTTTCTTTGCGCTTTGGTGATAAAATGCAATTCAAAAAAGTCGATACCAACTGAAATTCCGAGTGTTTCATATCTTGCTTAGCTCCCAGAATTACCAGCTGATATTTACCTTTGAGAATCGTGAGGTGAATCGTGACGTCGCTTTCTCTGGCACTCTCTCTCGTTCGCTCTCTCTCTCTCTCTCTCTCTCTCTCTCTCTCTCTCTCTTTCTCTCTCTCTCGCATACACTCTCTTTCCCTGGCTTTCTCTCTATTATGCTCTCTTAATCTGGCTCTTGTTCATTCACTCGATAGACAGTCAAAATTGAGCGATTTTTCTTGGAGTGCAGATTGGGATGCGTGATCGAGGGTGGCAATGTTAGGGGTTCGGGGCGACACCATGGGTTGGGGTAGGGGTTGGTGTTGGGGCTGGCGTTGGCGTTGGCGTTAAGGTTAGGGCTACGGTTAGGTACATGTGGGGGTTCCGTTTGTGGCTGGTGCGTTAGTCAAGATCTGTGGCTCTGCAACCCGTAGCACCCGCCGGCTCACTCACCTTCATCCCTGAGCACGGCGATCGTCTGCTGTCCCGCCTCCAGCTGGTCGGAGAGGCGCGCCGCCGCCCGCAGTCCCCGATTGGCCTCCGCGAGCTGCTGCTGCATGGCCTCCATTTCCGCCTGCAGTCGGTCCTGCCTGTCCAAGTGGGCCTGCATCTCGCGGCGGATGCGCTGGGTGGCCATCTCAATGTCGTGCTCCTTGTCTGCGATGGCCGGGGGTTAGGCTATGCTCTTGGGCGGGGGCCGAGGCCAGGTACTCACCGTTCTGGAACTGTTCCAGGGCGCACTGCAGATTGGTCAGTGCCGCCTGCTGCTTCATCTCGCGGTCCTCGCACTGCCCCAGTTTGGCCAGCAGCTCGTCCCGCTGCTGCTGGAGCAGGGCATGCTGGGTCTGCAGCGTCTCCGCCTGTTGGTTCGCCCGAATGCTGTGCGGATTGTGTATAAAAGAGGTAGAAAGAAGTGAGTTGCGTTCCCACTGGGGACCACTATCCCGTGCCTGTTCCTATCCCACCAGTTCCTATCCTATCCCACCGTCTCATCACCTTTTTGTGCTTCCACTCTTTCAGCGCTCCCCATTCCCATCATCGGATCTGATCTTAAGTTAACCCCATTTGCAGCTTGTGCCTCATTCGGCATCTCAGATCCGTCGTTTTCTGTTCGAAAGGAAACACCGACCGAATCACGAGCGACTGGTGGAATACCGATGACTCCGCTCCATCGCCACTTGATGCCACGTTCGGCATTAGCTTGTGGCCGGTTCCCCCAGCATAAGGGCGTCTTATATAAGGTGGCAGCGACTCCAATCGATTACAGCAGCGTGTACAATCAATAGCGGAAGCTATAGTCGTCGGCAATTTGTACGCCCTGATGTGACGCGGTGGGAACAGGTGGGCACAGGTGGATGGCGGATGGTGGATGGTGTGGCATGGTGAATGCAATTAGTGAGGTGTTTGCGGTACCGTCCGTCTCTGTCACGCCTCGTGTCGCTTATCGTGTCGCACTATATACCATAACAGAATGCAATTAGCATTCCAAATGTCTTCCCAAGGTGACCCCGATCCCAGGCTAGGCCAGGCCAGGCCAAGCCAAGCCAAATCCCAATCAGCAAACCCTGTCCCGGTCCCAACGTAACCTTACCTGGCTGAAGTGTACGCGGTGCTCGACTTGGAGACCTCCTGCTGGAGGACCGTCAGCTTGGTGCGCGACTCGTCCAGCTCGCGCTGCAGGTCCACTGTCTCCTGGGTGTGCAGCTCCTCCACCTCGAGGAGATGGGCACGCAGCCGCTCCAGATCGCGTTGGACGCTTGCCTGCTGCTCCTGGGCCTCCCGGGCCGCCTGGGCCTGGCTGCTCTGCTCCGCCAACAGGCTCGCGATGCGCATTTCCGACTTCTCCTTGAGCTCCTGCACTCTCCTCACCTGCTCCTGCAGCGTCTCGCGCTCGCGGACCAGCTCGGCGACCTGCTGCGCGAAAGGCTGCAGGCGCTGGATCTCCTCATAGTACTGGGTGTTCTCCGCGTGCTTCTGCTGGACCGCGTGGATCAGCTCTATCTTCTCCTGGCTAAGGCTGTCGTAGGTCTGCTGGACCATTTGCTTCAACTTATCCTCGCTCTGCTGAAATCTGCTCAGCTGCTCGTCCCTGGCCTGGACCTGTTCTGTGAGCTGCTCCAGATCAGTGGCCTGCTTCTCCAGCTGCTCTTCCTTGGCCTGGACCTGTTCTGTGAGCTGCTCCAGATCAGTGGCCTGCTTCTCCAGCTGCTCTTCCTTGGCCTGGATCTGTTCTGTGAGCCTCTCCAGCTCAAAGATCTGCTCATAGTCTCTCCCTCCCAGCTGCTCGTCCTTGCCATTGATCTGCGCTTTGAGCTGCTCCAAATGCAAGCATTGCTCCTCCAGCTGCGCGTCCTTGGCATGGATCTGGTCGTGGAGCGTCGCCAGATGGGACTTGTGGTACTCCTGGGCAGCGTGGAGCTCTTCCACCTGCCGCTGCATCTCTTCTAGCTGCGACTCCTTCTGGGAGAGCCTGGTCCGGCACTCTTTCAGCTCCTGTTCCTTCTGGCTTCGGTCGTCCTCCTGCTCCTTCTCTTTCTCCGCCTGGGACGCCTCCGCATCCAGCTTCAATTGGAGCCGCTTCTGGGCTTCGTGCGCCGTCTCAAGGCGGCGCCTGGCCTCCTCCAGCTGGCCCTCCAGCTGGACAATGGTTTCCTCGTGGTGCTCCTCGATGGTCTCCAGCTTGTTGCGCTTGAACTTGTCCAGTTCGTTGAGTAGAAGCTCGTTGTTCTTCATCAGATCGTCGCACTGAAGAATGTACTGCGAGATGTCTGCCTCCAGGGTCTTCTTCTCGTGATCGCTGATCCGCTGCTGGTCCTGCAGCTCCAGCAGCCGCTTCTCGGCGGCGTCGAGGCGCTGCCAGCGCTCGCTCAGGACGCGGTAGGCCCGCTCCAGGCTCTGCTGCGGCGCTGCCGTGGACAGGCGGTCCTCAATCTGGGCCTGCAGGAGGGACCGAAGCTTCTCCAGCTCGTCCTCGTCGTCCGCCTCGGCGTCGTCCAGGTCGGTGATCTCCTGCTTCTCCTCGGCAATGGCCTGCCGGAACTTGGCCTGGGCTATGCTGGCGTCCAGCTCCTGGCGCAGTCGCCGATTGTCGGCGCGCAGGGTGTCCATTTGCTGCTCCAAGTCGTGCGTGTGGGTCTCCTGCTCCGCCTCGGCGTTCAGCTTGAGCTCCTGGTTCTGCATGGTGAGCTGTTGCAGCTTGAACTGCAGCTCCAGCTGCAGCTGCTCCTTCTCGCCCTCGCTGATGCGCAGGCGGGTCTCCAGCTCGGCCAGCTGATCGCCCAGAAGGCTGGAGGAGAGCTCCTTCTCCAGCTGGGCGTCCTGCAGCTGGCTGTTGGCCAGGTTGAGCTCCGCGATGAGCGTCTCGAGAGCCACGAGCTTGTCGCGCAGCTTCTCCTTAGACGGGGGTTGCGTGGGGTCCGGATCGGGGTCTGGATCGGAGCCAGAGCCGGAGCCGGAGATGGCATCCGCCTGTCGCACCACAATGAACTCGTCCTCACTGTGCTTGGTGGAGGTGGAGGAGCTGTTAGAGGACGACTCAGAGGTCTTTTTCTCCTTGGCCAGCTTGAGGTCATCCAGCTCCTTGAGCAGTTTCTCCCGCTCCGCCTCGGCCAGGCGAACGCGATCGATCAGCTCGCCATTGTCCGCGCCCCGCTTTTCCAGCAGCTCCTGCATCCCGGCCAGCTCCAGCACTCCCTGCTTCAGCTCCAGCGCCTGCTGCTCCAGCTTCTGCTGCAGCTCCTCCTTGGCCGCCGCCAGGGCACTCTCCGCCCTGCTGTGCTCCTCCAGCTGCTTTTGCTGCCGGGCAATGGCCATCTCGTGCTCGACCATGCGGTCCGCCTGCCGCTGCCTCAGCTCCCCCACCTGCAGCTGCAGCTGCTCTTTGCGCCCCAGCACATCCCGCATGGCCAGCTCGTGCTGGGCGTCCAGCTCCTCCAACGAGGCGTTCAACTGTGCGTTGAGCTGCTCCAGCCCCGCGATGCGAGCGTTCAGGCGGGACACATCGCTGTTGCCCAGGGCTATGTCCACGAGTCCCGCCCCCGAGCTTTCTGTCCCGGCTGTTCCGGCTGCTGTGGCGTCTCCCTGTCCCTCGGATCCGTCGGCGCCGTCGTCCCAGCACTCCCAGCTGTCCTCCACATTCTGGTCTTCAGCGGCCTTCCGCTGCGGCTGTTTCTGGGGATTAAATCAAGAAGAAGGGATTGATGAAAAACGGCATTGGCTTAGCGGGGGATGAATATGTTCCGTGTTCAACGAATCAATAATCTCCTATTAGAAATAATCGCCTTAGGAATTGACCCAGTGAAACGGAACGGAATGGAGTGGAACACGGTTCAATGTTCCGTGGTTCAGATAATTACACAGCAAAGAAAAAACATCGGCGTTCGTTTGGAAACTCAAACCTCGTCCGTGTCCACGTTTTCTCCTATCAATGGGAATGGAACAGATTTTTAGATCCTCCGAAAGTCTCGCCTCAATCGAAATACGTTAGACACTGACAAGAAAGATGGCAAAACGGAATTCCTTTGGGAAACTGTTGTTCCACTTACAACGAAAGTGTACGCACACCTACTATTTCAGGAAGTCAAATATCCCGATAGAAATGACTGGAATGGAACTGCGTTCTCAGTTTCAGATCTTCCACAAAATACCAAGAGATTCCATGAGTTCCCGGCACAACTGTACCCCGCCACACCTACTGACTGGAATGCGTGGAACTTGTGGGACACGTGGACCATGGGGAGCTGGGACATTGGAGCATTGGGGAATTGGGGAATTGAGAGGAAGTCATGCACCTTTGCGCATGCGTCGCCTGATTGGCGGCCCTCGCATCCTGCCTGCCCCTGCCCCTGGCCCTGGCCCCGCTCTGAAACATGACTAGCTCATCAGCAAACCAGGTCAATTGGCAGACGCTAATGGCTACGGCCAGGGCAGAGCAAATGGGGGGACTGCGGCGCGGCGGTGGTGGCGGCCGCAGCGCGTGAGACATTCGCGCGTTAATGAGTTTATGGATGAGTTGAGCAAAGATGGCGGCGACAGAGCACAGACCGCTGACGTTGCGGTCTCTGTCTCTGTCTCTGCCACTACCTCTGCCGCTGCTGGCAGCCCCTGCGATAAGGTCCCAGCAACGAAATCCCCATAAAACCCATGACGGGACCGCTAAGCGGGCTAACAGCCAACAAAATGGCTGTAGAGGCCGTAAAAAACGTGGAAAAAAGTAAAACTGCAAAAACGAGCACCAACGGGAAACGGGCTACGAAATAAATATTTGAAATATGGTAAATGGCTAATTAAAATTGACTCAAACAGCGTCTGTGTGTGTACATATGTTATGTATCTGCATTGGTATACGGCGATGACTCATGAGAAGGGGCGAGAGAGGCTTGACAACGAACTACATAATGATTTAGTCGTAAATCAGGATGGGTGACGAGGATCGAAGAACGATTGGAAGTTGGGGCTAAGAGGTTACAGCTTTACAATGTATACGAAACTGGGGACCCTACCCTCCCTACCCTCCCTGCCCGTTCCCCCTGTTTTTCCATTAGATCTACGGCTGGAAATAGAAGAGGCGCGTACGTCCCTCCCTCTTTGGTTATCTTCATATTTGATTCATGTTTCTGTCACACCCAAGTACAAGTACACCCAAGCAGAGGATCCTATACGCTCCCAACCCCAATCCCGAATCCCATTCCAAGTATACCACCAACAGATGTGAAACTTAAACAAGGAAAGCGTCGAAATCGGAGAGACAAAGAGAGACAGACTTCGACTTCGACTTGGTTTGGTTTGGTTTGTTTGTCCACCCGACATTTGTTTAGTTAAAAGTCTACGGTTTCTACGGTTTCTACAGTTTCTACAGCCTGTACAGCCTGTACACAGTTTCCTCACGACGGTGTAATTATACCCTCTGCTGGGGTAAGGCCGTAGCCGAAAAGACACTTGTACAAACTGGGCTATCAGAGAATGGGTCATACATATGTAGCTATGGGTGTGAAAACACTTGTGTCTCGCGAACAAATATCAGTGAAATTATTCATGCTGCCGGCAACGGACTCCGGACTCCAGTTTCGGGCCAGCGATCTCTCCCTCTCCCTCTCGCGCTCCAGGCGCAGGCAGGGCCGAGCAATCGATCAACCTTCCGCCACCACAAACGGGTATGATATGATATGATATGATAGGTCTGTGCTGGTGTTAGTGTGCTTGAATTTCGGTGTGTGTACGGGCACGGGGGTGTATGGGAGACATGTACACAGTCCATGCCTAACGGTAATGGTGGCCATAAACGAGACCAGGCCCAAAAAGCCAAGAAACGATAAGATAAAATGATAATGCTCAGTGGGTAGGAGTGGGGGGGAGGAGGAGGAGGCTTAACAGGTTACTGCTGCACGGAGGAGATAGTACGGGGAGGAGGAGGCGCCTAGAAACAGGAAGTGGGGAAAGCAAATAGTTTCCCAGAAGAGACTTGTCGCCCCACAGCCCAGGCCCCCCCACAACATGCCACAGAAGGGGTATTTTTAGGGAATCCAGCATAGTGGGTTAGGGAGGGACCTGGACCCTTATCAGGAAATACTTATGTATAAATAAACGGAGCGGCTTACTCGATCAATATTGAATTGAGATCGCTTTCGCTTTAGTCACGACCGCCTCTCCACTCCGGGCTCCGAGCCGAGTGACTTCTTATCTAATCGGTCCGCTCCTCATTCCACCAGCACACACACACACACACACCCATTACGAGTGTATCCATAGGGTGGTGCTCGACCACCCCTCGATCGGAGCTCCCTCGAACCTTGGATTGGCGATCGCTTTGGGGTTTTGTCTTTTTTGTTTATAAATAAACATTCAACGACTGTTGCCTCCTGAAAGAGAGCTCCGCTCTGTTCTCGGCTCGGTTCGGTTCGGTTCGGTTCGGTCTTGGATGGATGTTGCTGAATCCCCCACATTTGCCGACGGAACAATACCCTGTACGTGCTGTGCACATGTGCATGCACATATGTTCTGTGGGATGTGGTAATGGGACCCTGGGGAACAGCACTCTGATTCTGAGCCGTAACTGAATCTATCAGAATGCGCTGGGTTTGGTTTGGGTTTGGGTTGGGTTGGGTTGGGTTGGGTTGGGGCTTGTGTCGCCATCGTTCTTTTGGGGTATTCGGTTTACTTTGTTCTCGGACGAAATTCAAACAGAGGGTCAGCGATTACGGGGAATTTTGCTGAAAGCTAATCGGAGACGAGGCTTGCAGAGCGGACCCAAGGAAACGATGAGAATGTAGAGCCGAGCTGGAAGTCATTCCCCACACAGAACCCCGAATGCCCTTGGAATGGAGCCAAAATACAATGTGGTGGAGAGTGGAGGAGGAACATAAGAATCTTGTCTCCCCCCAAGGAAGGCTGATGGGAACACTCATGCACATAATGGAAAGTGACCAATTATTTGATAGCGGAAAGCCAAAGGCGATAAGAAATAAGTCGAAACGCGACCTGTGGAAAGTTCCCATATCCTTATCTAGGGAATTCCGAATCGAATGGCATCAAGTCGAAGCCAGAAACCAGCCAGAAAAAAAGAGAATGCCCGACCGGTCGGGGCCCAGAGCTTCAGGAAAGGGTATCCCCGCCGACAGACATCATAAAACGAAAGTACTCATCTCGCCTTTTATTTTCTTTTTTTGTTTCTGTTTCTGTTTTTTTTCAGAAATCGCCATGAACAGCACTTCTCTCCACGTCCCTCCCCCTAGCCCCTAGCCGCTAGCACGCCCCGGCTGTTTCCAGGCCAACAAATGAGTAATAATAAAAATAATAATAATTTAGTTTATGCAGTGCAATAAAACCAAAAGGGAAAATGACATAGTTAATAAGAGGAAATGTCAAGTCGAGACAAAAGTCGAAAGTCAAGGCGGCCTAAAGCACAGCCGTCCCACAGCAACAGCAGCAGCAGCAGCAGCGGCCACAAAAAAATACAATACTCAGAGCGCTCTCTTAGAACTAGCTCTTAGAACTAGGCCGATACATTTTGTGTGCGAGCCAAGTAGAATACAATTGGAGTGCAACGGACTTGCAACAACGCTCCCGTCTTTTTCTGTATTAATTACCCTTTCGATCGATGTGATTTTCGATGGATCTGAGTGTGAATGATCAGTACATTTTTGAACACTCCGAACAGGGGAAGTAAAGTCTCCCATCTGCACTGCAGCGACCCCTTGCACTGGTTCCCTTGTCCCTGTCCCTGTCCCTGTCCCTGCGCTGCTCGACCCTTCGACGGCCATTCCACTTACAGTTACGTGTCAGCATTTGAAGCGATTTTCGCTTTTCGCTTCCAATTTCGGACTGGCAGCTCGGCAGAACTTGCGCCTTCGTTTTTTCCCGCGCTAGTCATTCGATAACTTTTTGTTCCAGTTTGCAGTTATTCTCACAAGCAAAAAAAATTGGCAAAAAAATGGCAAAGTAAAATTAAAATGGAGATCGGTTCGTTTTCACTTGAAGACGGCGATGTTTGCGCGTTTTGTGCACGACAACGCGCGGTTGTAAGCAATTAAAACAAAGGCAGCCACAAAATAGGGGTTTAACCAAGAATATAAACGTTAACAGGAATGAGATAGTGTTGTTCTTTTGTTTTTTGGGTAGACAGTCTCTCTCCCCAGCGGGAGCAGAAGGGGTGTAATGACCAGAGAGACGGGTAGGTAGCCGGAGACGACTTTCCCGCTGCGCGACCGATCGAGGAATGAACTGAACGTGCAATGGGCGTTGAGTGAAAATAGCAAAATGCTGAGAACCCACATAGCCGAAGTTGACACCGAGACCGAGCCCGATACCGATACTGAAGCGCAGAGCCGAAGCTGCTGCCGGCGTGAGACAGAGATAGCAGCAGTCGCGGCATCCGCGGCAGCCGCGGCAGCGCAATCAGCAAGTTTGGCTGTGCATTAGAGCAGGAGGAGAGCAGGTGAAGATCGCTGCCTGCTCCCGAAGCCGGAGGCTCCTGTCGTCGCACCAGCGGCGACCCAGGCCACCGCTTTGGGGGTTTGGGGTTCTTCTTGTGCGCAAGGATAAAAGAGAGGGAAAGATTAGGTAAATGGAATGACATCCATCGTAGCCATACGCCATCCAGTATGTACGTATGTACATACCCTAAACACACACGTGTGCATGTCGGTAGTGTAACCGTCTTCGACTTGCTCTCC